CTCCTGAATAGTTTTATACAATTTTTATAGGCGTGGCATTCGATTTTGCCCTATTTTGAAAATTTTTCTGTTAATTCTTACCATATATTCGTACAAGTGCTTGAAATATAATATATAATCTTGTATATATAAATGTATAAAAAATAAGCATTTATCTCCCCTTGTCTCCTGAATAGTTTTATACAATTTTTATAGGCGTGGCATTCGATTTTGCCCTATTTTGAAAATTTTTCTGTTAATTCTTACCATATATTCGTACAAGTGCTTGAAATATAATATATAATCTTGTATATATAAATGTATAAAAAATAAGCATTTATCTCCCCTTGTCTCCTGAATAGTTTTATACAATTTTTATAGGCGTGGCATTCGATTTTGCCCTATTTTGAAAATTTTTCTGTTAATTCTTACCATATATTCGTACAAGTGCTTGAAATATAATATATAATCTTGTATATATAAATGTATAAAAAATAAGCATTTATCTCCCCTTGTCTCCTGAATAGTTTTATACAATTTTTATAGGCGTGGCATTCGATTTTGCCCTATTTTGAAAATTTTTCTGTTAATTCTTACCATATATTCGTACAAGTGCTTGAAATATAATATATAATCTTGTATATATAAATGTATAAAAAATAAGCATTTATCTCCCCTTGTACGTCTCCTGAATAGTTTGTAACGGCCGCGAACAAACCTTGGGTAGGGTGTCTGTCGGTCTGTGTCAACCGCAAGCGGCGCAATAACGGCATGCCGTTAGACAAAATCATGCGATTTTGTGGTACCGCAAGTAAACCGCATGATCTTGCGGTATATGTGTTTATTTTTTTTTCTTTTCTGATCTCCTTACTTACAAGCACAGGCAAAATCGTATGATTTTGCGGTACCTTTGCTTGCTTTTGCAAGTACAGGCAGAATCGTATGATTTTGCGGTACTCCTTTTTTTTCCTTTTGCTCTTGCAAGCATAGGCAAAATCGTATGATTTTGCGGGATCTATGCTTGCTCTTGTGAGAGTAGCGGCAAGCCGTTATAGAGAGAGCAACAGGAAGAAGAAGAGGGAAATGAAGTAAAAAGGAGAAGTCTGTCTGCGTTTTAAAATTTAAGTGAGGGGAGATAGAGTTAGTTGAGTTTGAGCCGAGGATTGAATTGGTTGTGATCGCACAACGTAAATCCGCGAAGAAGTTTTGTTCAATTTTGATAGACATTTTCTCTAAGGAGGAATAATTTAATAATGTGATGGAGTTGAGTTTTTTTTGGATTATTTTGCTTTTTTTCTGAAAGAAAAAGGTGATATCAAAGAGTATGTGTTGTTGGTTTTCTCTACATTGCCTTCATTAAGCAAATAATGCAATTGTAATTAAATAGACAAAAAAAAAAACGTTGGAGAAGTACAATTTGATGTGACGGAGATTCGCGTTGTTTTTTTTCGATTCCCATATAAAGAAAAGGAAACTTTCCATTGTGTGCTATTGCACCTACGTACACATGAAGATTTATTCAAGAAAAGAACTTTACTAACAAAAGTCAAATTCTAGACATAAGTTTGTGTTACATACCTCAAACCCATGCACATGAATAATTATCAAAAAAGATTCAAACATTGTATTTTATACGCAAGTCTAGAAGAAATCGAAAGCAACAAAAATGTAAACAACTGAAAGCAATTAAAAGAATAAAAAAAAAAAAAAAAAAAAAGG